TCAGGTTTGATAAAGTCCCTGAAGGACGAGATTAACGGTAATTGTGAGAAAAGGTTGAGTGTGACCCGTCCTGCAGCTCTCACCGACTTGCATGGGCGAGTGTTTTCGCTGCGTCCTTTGTTAGTGATGACGCATTGATGCACTCTGCAGCCATCATGGACAAACCCCTCTGGATAACCCCACTGAGTGCAGCTGACATTTAGAAATGCCTGTCAGCCACACAGTTCATTTGTCAAATAGGCGCTCGTTTCATCCACTTTCCTGTTTGTTCGTTTTATTTTATATTCTCCAACCAAGTGACCAAACTGTCTTTCTCAGTTCTCTTTTAGTAGCTGCACAGTTCCTCCTGAGATGAGCTTTTCCAGCACAGAAGTTGGGATTCTCCCCTAACAGATCTGAGGGGTCGTGATCCGTCACTCCGTGTTGTGTCACTTTGGTGAACGCTCTGCCATCTTTGTTATGAACGTCCCCGCTCTGTTTGAAACAGAGGCGTCCTTTTTGATGTTATCAGTTTGATCACAGAGCTCAAGTGTTTTCATCTCTCAGCCTGCTTCCTTTAATCACATCTGTGTTAAAACCAGCTGCCTTATCGCCGGCATGGTCTGTGAGTATATTCAAGTGATGCAACCTTCCTCCTCTGTTTCTCAGCCCTGTCGCCTCGCTCCATGTTTTATTCTCACTCGCTCAGGAGAATTTATTTCCCCTCCGAATACATTTTCTGCAGCCCCTCTTTTATAAAATCATCGATTTTCGGTCGTGTCAGCGCAGCAGGACGGTTTCCTTATCTGCCGTGGCAGGAGCACAAATACAGAAAGGCTGCTAAATAATGCAGGAGCGGCGGCATCAATAAACGGAGACATGGGAGGCATCAGATTAACGGCCAGGTCATAAACTCTTTGAGGTCTCACCGCGCTAATGCGTGACTCCATCAGGCTCAACAAGGTTGAACTACACAACCAACAATCGCTCACGAGGCCCAGCGTTCAGGGCAGTTTACTTGAAGTGTCCTCCTCGGTCACAGGGGAGCTGAGATGAGCTCGGCGCCGCAGCGAGAACGGGGAAAATCAGTTCCGACAGTGACGTCCTCGCCTGTGAAGACAATATTTACCTCTCTGCGAAATAAAACCGCGAGGGTCAAAAACGAAGGTCCTCGCCTTCACGAGGGCTGCTTGTATCAAATGTTTGGTGGATTTATCACCTTCTGAGGAACTAGCTTCCTTTACCGTAAATGTTTACTCTGATGATGAGTCATCGCAAATAAAGAGTGGCGGTTAACATTAAATATCATCAAATGACTCGTCTTTATTATATCAGGCAGAGCATTATGCTCCAAAAGATGCTCCATCTCCTGTCAGATTATTTTATACCCAGAGCCAATCTAATCAAATGTGTCGACTTTATTGGGTTTTTGAGGCTTGGAGGGGGATTCTGAACAGTCAGTGTAAGATTTTCCTCCAATTTTTCTACATTTATTCCAATTTTATCCTTTTGCAGTGTAAAAACAGCTAAAAACAGCTATTTGGTTTGATTTACAGGAGATTTGACTATTTTGTCCTCACATGTTAAATAAACAAACTAAATAAGTTTTGTTAATATATATTTTTCAGTCAATTTAACGATTCAGTTTTGTTGCACCCTTTGTCCCCCAGAGTTTTAATGATATAAAAATATTTTTCTCGCAGCTCCAGGTTTCTGAAGCCTTGCTCACATTTTATTTTGGAGCACACGACGATGTACGGCTATTGAGGATCTTGAATCATGCATGACACTGTTCACAAGGAATGAGGTCAAGGACCTGACATGAAAACTGTTCTAGAGGAGAAAAAGTTAGAAGTTGAAAACACCAAGGAGCTTGATCCAAACCAAAAGACAACTGATGTGGAAAGATCAAGAGCTGAAGAAGGAGGATACGGGGATATAACTTGGCCCTCTTATCACAGTGTTAATCGTATACTGTACTTTTCGCTGTATAAGTCACACCTTTTTGCATAAATTAGCATGCCCTGCCACTTATACAGTGAAGTGACATTTTCCCCCCATAGTTATAACCCAGTTTTTGGCTGAGATCTGACGATTTCATTCATTCTGACATGGAAAATATTGAACACTGCCATTTTCAGCCGAGTAATATGGCAAGCCAAGTCAAATGGTATTAGAGGGCTAGCATTACAGTGGGTATCCAGTTATTAAGAAGAAAGGAAACAGTTTGTTCAAATAAATGATGTAAGATCTGAACTTTGCAACATCACATGTGGAGTGCCTCAAGGTTCTGTACTTGGACCTAAGTTATTTATTTTATATATAAATGAGCTGGTTAATGTGTCAGGACTGTTTAGATGTGTTTTATTTGCAGATGATACTACATTTCTTTGTTCGGGTAAAGATATAGAACGAATGTTGGAGTTGGTACAGACAGAATTTGTAAAAATACAAAATTGGTTTCAACTAAACAAATTATCATTAAATTTGGATAAAACAAATTACATGATACAATAAGAGAACTGTCGATGCTCATTTAGAGTCGATGGTGTTGAGATGTGTAGAGTCAGTGAGGTGAAGTTTCTGGGTGTCATCATTGATGAAAAACTGACATGGAAACCTCACATAAATAATTTTAAAACAAAAAATATATAAATTTATGGCAGTATTGTGCAAAGTAAGGGAGTTACTCAACGATAAAGCACTGTTTATGTTGTATAATGCAATAATTGTCCCACACTTAATTTACTGTATTGAAGTCTGGGGTAAAGCATGTAAAACAATTATAAATTCTATTTTTATTTTACAGAAAGGAGCTGTAAGATTTATCTCTAGAAAAGATTATAGATATCCATCAAATACATTGTTTTATCAACTGAAGATATTAAAATTATATGACTTGGTTGAATATAATATTTTACTGTTTATATATGAGGTGCACAAAAACATACTGCCTTCAAATATCCAAGTAAATTTTGTTAAAAGGGAGAGTGGTTATTATCTCAGGGGGATAGAGATGTTTGTGAAGCGTTGGTTTCGTACCAGTTTGAAGGAGCGGTCTACTATAATTCAAGGAATAGGAATGTGGAATGGTCTGAAGGATGATGTTAAAACTGCCAGATCTATGTACATATTCAAGAAAATGATAAAAGTTTATTTTCTGAAGGAATATGGAAAAGTATAATATGTATCTATACAAATTGTTGTTTGAGTTGATATTGTTTTTATTTAGCTTTGTTGTTTTGTAAAATACTTTTGTTTGAATATACTCTGGGGAAAAAAAAGGGCAGATATCATAAGATTTATTCTTCTTCTGCTGCCTTTCATTTTATTTTTTGATAGTATATATATTTTTTTGTTTTCTATTGTATGCAGTTATTTTGTTTTTAATGAAATGAATAAATTTCTAAATAAAAAAAAAGTGCCTCATTAATAGATAAAAGTGGCTATTAATGAGACACTTGGCTTGTCACAAAAATGGAGGATGGAATGTGACAAATAAATAAATCATGAAATAAGTCATTTCATTGTGTATTTAATAATTTAATTGTGTATTTAATAATTTAATTGTGTATGTAATGATTTAATGATGTATTTAATAATTAAATGATACATTACATTATTACATTATTACATTATTACATCAAATCAGCTGCATTTCACTGCGCCGCCTAGGCGAAATGCAGCTAATTTGACCATTAAAGTGAATTTATTAAGGAAAAGTTCAACTGAGACACACCATTACTATGACATTGAGAAAATAAATAATTGTTTGTAGGTGTTCTTGTTAAATTTTGAAGAAATGCACAGAGAGTCATCCCTCTGCGCGGTCCCGCAGCCGCGATTTGGCTTTTGAAATGCAGCTGATTTGACCATTAAAGTGCATTTATTAAGGAAACGTTCAACTGAGACACACCTTTGCTAGTATTTTAGGCAAACAAAATAATTGTTTTTAAGTGTTAATCTTGTTAAATTCTTGTTAAAGTCCTCCCGTGCACGTTCCCGCAGCCACCATTTGGCAGCCAATCGATTTTTGGCACAACACCTGCCACGTTTCCAGGTGGTCAGAGGTGACACATAACAAACACGACCTGTCAGTGGTGATGCATAAAAGATGTGACGTCTACGGCTAAGCAGCATATTTATGGTTGTTTTGGACTGATGCAACTTATACGGCAGTGCGACGTGTACGGCTGAAATTACGATACTTACATTTTGAACATTTGTCCTTTTTTCACCAATAAAACTAACGGCTCTAACTGTGAGAACACACAAAAAGGACATTTATCTGAGACACTATCAAAATATGTAAATAATTTTAAAACAAATGGGCTTTATGAATTTGCACATGAACATCATGTCTCGTTCCTAAACTTGTTATTGTTAAAATAATCCATAAATGATCGTATTAATTATAATTACATCTTATTCTTTTAATGTGTTGTCATATGAGCTCAGCTCAGTGAGACTGACAGTCCATAAAATCCAAACGGGATTAAAAATGGTTTTGTCCATAAAAATATAAGATCTTTCAATGCACATTGTGATGAAGGATGAATTATCAGGGATTTATAGTCAGGTTTATTTGGGGTAGTTATCTTTAAACAAGAAGCAAGAAATGAACACAAAAAGGTTAAGGAGCATCTTAAAACTAAAATTTCTTAACGGTTTTATTTCTAAGAGCAATAGATTCTATAAAAAACGTATAAGTTTTTTGTCCAAAATGATGTACCAGTAGTTTGTTTGTATATTTTATTGGGAAATGCCATTTTTCTTCCCGTCACTATTTGTATTGAACAAAATATGTAGAGTATGATTTGATTAAATTCAGGTTTTAAACATTTAATTATAACTACAAATGATGTAAAGAAAATATCTACTTTCTTACAAACGTTTATGTAAAAATAAAGCCTTTCTTGTGCTGTACAATATAAGTGAATACAGTTTTTTGTGTGTGTAATTACACTTTTCCTTTCCACTAATATTGACTCTTTTCTCTCTTTTTGCTGTCATTTCTCCAGGAGGTTGAGGTCAGTTCTTTCTCCTCTATCCGCCTTTTGTATGATGTCTTTTTCATTTACGACCCATTTCCTCATCCGTTCATGCACACTTTCTTCTATACTCATCGCCTGCAACTTAATTAGGGCGAATAATGGGCTAATTAAACGGGGGATAAAAAGCAGCGCACTTAAAAGACGTGTCACCACCAACTCCGTGCGTATGTCTTATTGCACATTCGTCAGGTTAATTTCCATACAGAATGTGCAGAACAAAGAAGACCTATCTGTTCCCACTGATACTCACTAATCACGCCATTATTTTCAGTGTTCTGCGAGAATTTAAATCACGTTCTCCGATGTGATGGTGCTCATATGTTCCACTGTCTGTGAGACCAGCAGCAGCACTGTGCACTCCTTATTCTCTGCAGCTGCAGTTAACAGATTTATTTTACGTGTTTCTGCAGGATGATTATGTGCGTTCCTGGGATGAAGATCAAGGCTCTAATGACAGTAAGTTTCACACTTTCTTTGTTCACACCATGTGGCTGGCTAAATCCATGACAGCTAACAGTTAGCAAGGGATTTCTCATGTTTAGTGGAAAAGTGGAACCCAAAGTGCAGAACCAAAACTCAGAGAGTCGAAGGTAAAACAAAATTAAATAATTTGTTAAAACAAGAAAACAAAAAACTGATGCAGGGCTGACCCATGCAAGGCATAAGCAGCGGCTGCTTAGGGCTCCAGGGCCACTAGGGTGCACCCTAAGTGGAAGCACACGTTTTAGGAATTTTGTGAAGTATTGAAGGAAGAAGTAGCATAAATGGGTCAAATGTGTGAGTAAAGGTTGTTTAATATTTTAAGTTCAGTTTTTCAAATTGTTGCATACATTTACATACTTTTAAGAACTAATTACTTAACTTTAGATTATTTTTTTTAACAATTTTACATGGTTTCAAGTAGGCCTGTCACGATAACAAATTTTGCTGGGTGATTAATTGTCTCCGAAATTATTGCGATAAATGATAATATTATTTGAAATTTGACAATAATTTGTAATTATTGTCAAATTTAAGAAGAAATGGTTGTTAATTTGATTTGTGTGTAGAACCTTTTTTTGATGACTAGATGACAGCATAAGACTGTTTGAACCGAAGGATGGATAGTGAGGGAGTGAGCAGCGTTTCTTTAAGAAAAATGGGAGGGAGGCCCCTTGACTTGACATGGGCTGTCTCTCTTTGGTTCTCAAAATGGTGGATGCTCGGTGTGGTTTGAGCTCTTTAGCATAGCATTTGTCACACAAAGCTTTTAATTAAAAAAAAATCAGTAAACAAGTTCTCTGCTTCTTTTTGCAGAGACAAACTTTTTACACAAAGGCACGGGTTTCAACCGTGAATTTTGGAGCTTCGACAAGACGGAGGGTTTTTCCCCTGAGGTCAGCCTGTTAGCTTAGCTCGTAGCTTAGCTTCTCAGCTTAGCTGCTTTTAACGATCCAAAAACGCGATTTTGGACGGTTAAAACGGATTTTAAAGAGAAAAGAGAAAGGGAGGGGTCAGTGAAGAGCACCGGAGTTGAGCCTTTTGTCATCCAGTGTCTTCAGTAGAAAGAGAGAGACATGAAGAAACGATAAAGCCGATAAATGATAATGAGGTCAATAATTTTCATTTATCATGTGATTAATTGATTTATTGTTTATTCCGACAGGCCTAGTTTCAAGTGATTGTTCATTTGCGTTATTTAAATGTAAATGAACAAATGCAGATCATTTTCCTTGATATTTTTATTTTATTTTGTCTGTTTTTGCAGTTTAATTTATTTTTATGCATCTAAGTTATATTATCTGTTGTTTATTGTTGATCTTGCACTACAAATTATTTTGAACTTTACTGTTGCAGTTCTTTGGCACCAAAGATAATAAACTAGATGAAACTTTTGCTGTAAAATGCGTACTGGTGTGTTTTTTTTTCCTTTGTTACTTTTAGTACCACATGTATACATATAAGATCATGTGAACAGGGCTGTCAGAGTTGCAGTGATTTTATGTTACAAGGGTGAATGATCTGATCATCTGTCTGTTGATTGCAGTAATCCACATTATTAGCAGAAACAGAGGGCCCCAAACCAAATTTCGCTTAGGGCCCCATGGAGGCTTTGTCCAGCACTGAGCTGACATATAGTACCAAAAAATATTAACTCAATGAAAAAGCAGTAGTAGACTCAAGAGGGAACACAAACATGAAGGGACTGAAAAGTAAATTGCACAGACAACAAATGAGAAAAATGACACAAGCTTTAAAGGGAAACTAATGAGAGAGAAACGACAAGACCGGCAGTGCCAAGTCTCTTTCTAACACAGATTTAAATCACTCTCTACTTTTCCAATGAACAGATGAAGGTAAAAATATCAACACATTGTTTTTTCTTTTCTCTGCAGACAAACACCCAGAAACCAAGAATTTGACCTGATGCAACACTTACTGTTCTCCCGTGAGAACCCGTGTAACCTCAGCGTTAACGCCACTAAGAGATTACATGTGCGTTATTCATATTTTAATATCTTGTTCTGAGAAATATTTTAGAGGGTCCTAATTAAAAATTTAATTAAACTAAATCATTTACAGCCCCAAATCTAAACTACTTCATCATACCATAATATATTTCAGTTGACAACTTTATTGCTTCTAATGAAGGCATGATACAAATTTCGATTTCAATTTTAATTCAATTCAGTTTATTTATATAGCGCCAAGTCACAACAGAAGTCTTCTCAGGGCACTGAACAGAAACATTCATATATATAAAAATAATAGTTTAACATTTATCTGAGGAGCAGACCGCTTTGAATTTAACTCCATCACAGACTCTCGTTTTGAGAAAGCATGAAGGCGACAGTGGAAAGGAAAAACTCCCTCATGAGGAAGAAACATCTAGCAGAACCAGGTTCAGGACAAGCAGCCATCTGCTTTAACCGGCTGGATTTAAGAGGAACAGGAAGGAGGAACAGATACACAATGGCAGGTCGAGAATCACATGTTAAGATAGAAATAAATTCAAATGAAAACTATTAATTTATAACAATTAATTTTAAGAGATGAGGTCAATTTGTCCTCCAGTAGTCTAAGCCTATGGCAGCATAAGAAGTCGACCCTAACTATAGGATTTATCAAAAAGGAAAGTCTTGAGCCCAGTCTTAAAACTGGACAATGTGTCAGCCTTACAGACAGAAACTGGAAGTTGGTTCCACAAGAGAGGAGCCTGATAACTGAAAGATCTTCCTCCCATTCTGATCTTAGAAACTCTAGGAACCACAAGTAAACCTGCAGTCTGAGGGCGAAGTGCTCTGTTACGAAAATATGGGACAAAAAGGTATTGAATATAAGATGGAGCTAGGTTGTTGAGGGCTTTGTAGGTTAGAAGTAAGATTTTGAATTCTATTCAATTTGAAAAGAATAACATAACACAAGACAAAAAGTTTCATGGATCGAAACTAAGATTGTGTCATGACACCTCTTAAAAACGTGTTGTAATCTACTTGCCTGGGTGATGGTTTGGTTTTGCAGGCGTATAAATTGGAATTAAAGCATAAATGGAAACACAAACAAAGGGGCCAAAAGAAAAATGCTAAAATACATGTGTTTTACACCCAGCATTATCACAAGAGCTTCAATACAGAGCATTTTCCTTATGTTCCCACTGGTTGAACCTCAAACCATGAGCACCTCCTCTGTTGCCTCCTCTTTCTTTTGGATACACTGGACCTGGAGCCATGTGCTCAGGCCTTGGACAGCCGAGGTCTCGTCCTTGACTTCTTCTGCAACTGCAGCCCTAATTGAGCCTCTGCCAGATTAAGTCATGGCACTGAGTCGTAGTCCCAACCGTGGTCGTTTGATTTGCAGCTTAAACGAAGTCAGCTGAGTGGCGGAGTGCATTAACGCAATTTCCAAGTGCTTAATGAAGGATTAATTATGGCTTCTCATAAAAGGACAGACCGAGAGGTAAAGGCATGAGAAGAGAGGGTGGGAGCTAATATGCTTTGATTTAGTGTTAAGCTCCTGGCGTCATCATTTTTCCTGCCAAGCTGAAGAGCATATGAACACTGTGGAGTGTGGGGATGAAAGGAAGTTGTTATGAATAGATTGGATTCTAATGGAAATTAAAATAGGTCTTGTTTATCTGTAAAAAAAAAAAAAAATGCTGAGGTCATTTAGAAAAACAATATTCACAAAAACATCTTGAGTCTGGTAAGTGAGACAACAAAGGGCTCAGATAGTTAGACGGACTTCTGTGATCAGTAAGTGACTGATAAAAACATACAATTCCCAGCCAGGTTGTCTAGTTTCCCCAAAATGTGTCTTTTCCAGATGGATTAAGGTGATCGATCCACTGATTTGGAAACACACAGGGATAGCCAACCACAGCACAATGATAAGGAAAAGAGAATTCAGGCTGCCCTTCGGCTGGAGCTTTGTGCCATCTTTAGCTACTGGAAGCACGGCAGGAGACCGTACATGTCTAAGTAAAAGAATCCAAATCAGTCAAGGAACCCAATGTTTAATTGTCATATCAAAACCTAAACTTCAACAAAGGTGGTTAATTTCATGGATTGATTATTATTTAAGTTGAAAAGCAGAATTTATGTTATATAAAGCTTAAGCATTTCAAAGTTGTGAGAAAAGTGCCCATTCTAGTGAACTTCTATGTTAACTGACTGCTAATGCTGTGTTACAGCAGGACAATCTCTACTCATTATTGGCTTTGTGTCCTGCAAGTAACTTCATTCATGGTTTTTTTGTTTCTTATCCTATACTCACGTGTTGTGTGTTATTTGTTATTTGTGATGGCCCAAGCAAGATGAGCTCCAAACGTGCTGCGCAAATCCAATTTTAACATCACTGCCTAAAGGAAACCAATGAGTGCTGCCCTTAGACAATAGCAACTGAGACAAAAGAAAGAGGGGAAAAAAAAAAAAGAGTAAAAACCAACATGGAGCTGTTTAAACGGTTTAAAGTTCCCAATCTTAAGAAACACAGACCGGTGTGACGTCAGATCTTATCCCCCTCTCTTTGTCAGAGCTGTGATTTGTTCAGCGATGCAAAACCTAGAACTTTGCTCGCTCCAACAGATTTACGTGCACAAACATGCACACACATCAGATACAGCTCTAAAACACTTTATTTTTTTTGAAAGGAATACAAGACACTGAAGGAAAATTCTCTGCTTGGATCATGATAGTGAAGCTGTTCTCTCATCATTTAACTTGTGTTAGAAGGAGTGTTTTATCTCTTTTTTTCTGAGTAGTAGATTATTGTACTAGCTGTTTTTCCACAGTAAGCAGTTGACTTTTAATATAATATAGATGTAGATTTATGTTTGAGGGGTTTAGATACTTTTTGAAGAAAACACACCTGCACACCCCAAAGCAGACCAGGAAAGGTTTAATGTATAGATTTATGCTTTTTGTTAAAGGTAAGGCAGATTGTTTATCAACCCCTGATTAATTTAATATTACTTAAAT